AAAACCCTATCTAGATCAACTTGAAGTGATAGTGAGTCCTCCTCCGAATTAATTTCCTTACCGATTTTCGTATCATCGGTAAATTTGCAAATGTTGCTACTCAAACCTGAATCTAAATCATTTATATATATTATGAACAACAGAGGTCCCAGGACAGAGCCTTGAGGCACTCCACTTACATCATTTTCCCACTCTGACTTGATTCCATTTATACTAACTGTTTCCTTTGGTATAGCCATGCCCTAATCCAGCTTAATATAGCACCCCCAATACCATGAGACTCTATCTTTTTAATCAGTCTTTCATGTGGCACTGTATCAAAAGCTTTGCTAAAGTCAAGGTACACAACATCGCAATCCTTACCACTATCAACTGCCTCAACAATGCTAGAATAAAAAGATAACAAATTTGTTAAACATGAACGGCCATTTATAAAACCATGTTGCGACTCAATTATTAATTTATGTTTTTCAAGATGAAGACGAATTTTATTTGCTATTATAGATTCGAGTAACTTTCCCACAATAGACGTTAGGCTAATTGGTCGATAGTTAGACGCAAGTGATCTATCTCCTTTCTTAAAAACTGGTATCACATTAGCAACTTTCCAAAACTCTGATATAAATCTGATGTTACCAATAGGAGCTTCCTCGTATGGGCCAATAGACCTTCTGCAGTTAACTTTATTCTTGTGTTCTTATGAACAAACTCACTGGATGGATGGAGAAGCTACGGGATCCCAGTGAAGGCAGCAGCACTCCAGGCCACAAATCTCTCACATGTGGTACAGCCGAGGAAAGCACGCCTGGGAACATCCAGTGCGTAGGTTCGAACCCTCATTATTGCCCTTGAGGATTTTTTCATTTTATATATCACGTGTGTATATTTAGAGACATTGCAGTAGCTATACACGGACTCAGACTTGGTAACAAATGCTGCTGAGAAGTAGTAAACCCTATGGTTACTGAATGTTATATCTGTGGAACAGATGCAGAGGCACAACTATGGCATTACTAAAGTGAAGCAACAAAAGCCTTGCGCATCAAACATAACATTAATCCAACGAGAGTGGCTGCATTACATGCAATATCCACAGCGTTAATATAGTTGGAAAAGCAGTTGAAGAAAGGGACACACTATTGAACACTGCAACTATATCCGTCATCAAGATAATATTATTAAAGCAAGACTATAACCAAAGAGAGAAAAAAGGAGGAAAAACCACCTCCATTTAAAAATTTAACCCAAATATCACGGAGTCAAGGTTATCGCGAATGATTGAACTCACTGTACCCCGTGTAACATGGACATTTCGTTTTGAATAGTTAAATTTAAAACACCAAAGCAAGAAGTGTTGGGCATTTCGTCGACAATGAAATCTATGTAGGAATTCAAAAATCAAGGAATCAAAACAGGGAATGCAGATACTGTCCGGTGGCTCTACTGAACTATCAAACTGAAACTCGTTCGACAATTCGGGCACAACACAGGTGTCTCCCAGCCTTATTCAAAATTAGGAGTTATCAAAAGTATAAGAAAACTCAAGCCTGACTCAGGAGTCCACAGCGCCCTTAGACAAAACTCATCCTGACCTACACAACACTATACACCACAACAATATACACTACGACACTATACACCACACCACTATACACAACACTATACAACACAACACTCTACACCATGCACTATACACCAAGACAGTATACACCACACCACTATACACCACAACACTATCCACCACAACACTATACACCATGACACTAAACGCAACGAAACTATTCACCACAACACTATACTCCACGACACTATACACTACGACACTGTACACCACGACACTATTCTCCACGACACTATACTCCACGACACTATACACCACGCCACTGTGCACAACATCTTAACAACTTAACAAGATTGACAATAATATCAGCAGAAAGAGGTAAAACATGGCTCATTAGTTCACGAGCAAGATAATCGAGATATTGAGCCATGTTTTACCTCTTTCTGCTGATATTATTGTCAATCTTGTTAAGTTGTGCATTAAAGAATGTAAATTTACCTTTAATAATGAGTATTATTTTTCAGACTTTTGGAATGGCAATGGGGAATCCTTTATCGTATTTCTTTCAAACTTGTACATGGAATTCTTCGAAAAGAAATTTGTTTCAAAAATAACTCCTGGAATCATTCCATGGTTTAGAGATGTTGATGATGTTTTGTGTATATGGCCTTCAGATGTAAACACAGACGAATTTGTAGCCAAACTTAATGACCAAGTCACCTCTATAAAATTTACTATGGAGACTGAAATTGATAAATGTTTGCCATTCTTAGATGTTCTTATTCATAGGGAAGATTCTTCACTAAAGTTTAGTGTTTACAGAAAACCTACGAATAATTTATCTTATGTTCATTATTTTTCTGGGCATAGATACAATGTGAAAAAGTAAATTTTTTCTTCAATGTATCTAAGAGCTCTTCAGGTTGTGAGTCCAGAATTCTTAGACGAAGAGTTTAAGAATATTGATTTGATTGGTCTCAAGCTTTGTTACCCACTGAGTTTTTGGAAGTTTGCCGTAGCAAAGCACGTCATACATATAATAATACATGCAGTGAAAGAATTCGCCCAAAGAATGTGTTATGTTTACCATATTTCTCTGGGTTTGAGAATATTGTCATGGCCATGAAACTTTTTAATAATGTTCAGCTACGAAAATACCGTTAGTAAACTATTAGTTAGGAACAGCCCTCGTAGTGATAATTGTGTCATTCATAAAATACCTTGTAAAGACTGTAATAAGTTCTATGTTGGGCAAACATCTAAAGATTTGAAATGTAGAATTTTGCAACATAAATACTCTGTTAGACATGGCCAATTGTCTAATGCTTTGTTTGTTCATATGTCAGAAGATGCTCACCAAATTGATTGGGAGATGGCTTCTTCAATAACGAATTGTAAAAGCACCTATAACAGAAACAATTGAATCTGCTTTGATACAGATCACAAAAGAAATTTGAACATTAGCGGTGGTCTATAAAACTTAGATCCATTTTTAATAGATCAATTAAAGGACGATTTAAGTAAGAACATTGGAACACATTTGTCTCACTAATTCATTGTATATATTTACTATTTTATGCTTTAATTATCTATGTGTGGGCCTTTCTGTGGTTGCTGCATCAGATGGGCCAATAGGCCGTCTGCAGTGTCCACGTATTGTACCTCACCTCACTCCACTATTCTCTCCTGCCTATTTATGTCTAGTATTCGATTTGTAAAAACACTCCTTCTGAAGATGTATTAATATACGAAAGTACTTAAGGAAATTCCTGTTTCATTTTTCCTCCGTGGTCTGACATTGTCACATTTATATATATATATATATATATATATATATATATATATATATATATATATATATATATATATATATATATATATATATTTGTGCATTAATTGGCTGTTGATTGCTGGTGTTGACTTCTTGATGTGTAGTGCCTCGCAAACGTCAAGCCGCCTGCTATCGCTGTATCTATCGATGATTTCTGTGTTGTTTACTAGGATTTCTCTGGCGATGGTTTGGTTGTGGGAAGAGATTAAATGTTCCTTAATTGAGCCCTGTTGCTTATGCATCGTTAAACGCCTAGAAAGAGATGTTGTTGTCTTGCCTATATACTGTTTTTTTTGGAGCTTACAGTCCCCAAGAGGGCATTTGAAGGCATAGACGACGTTGGTCTCTTTTAAAGCGTTCTGTTTTGTGTCTGGAGAGTTTCTCATGAGTAGGCTCCCTGGAAACACAAACCGTAACTGTCTCTATTTTCCGCTTGTTACAACTTGTAATAAAGTTGTTACATCTTGGCTTAACGTGTTTGTGACGTATTAGAACGTTGTTACAACTCGCTATATTGGTTGTTATAACTGATTAGGAGGTGTTAAAACTCGTTCGAACGTTGTACCAACGTCGTAGTTTCGGTGTGTGTTTGGCGGGCTGGCCGTTTTTCTGGTTTTATAGTAAATCGTCAGTTGTATCCTCTGATTTTTGTCTGTAGGGATAACGTTTCTATTAACAATATCTTTCAGGACCCTTTCCTCCGTTTTATGAGCTGTGGAAAAGAAGTTCCTGTAAAATAGTCTAATAGGGGGTATAGGTGTTGTGTTGGTTGTCTCTTCAGAGGTTGCATGGCGTTTCACTTTCCTTCTTATGATGTCTTCGACGAAACCATTGGAGAAGCCGTTGTTGACTAGGACCTGCCTTACCCTACAGAGTTCTTCGTCGACTTGCTTCCATTCTGAGCTGTGGCTGAGAGCACGGTCGACATATGCGTTAACAACACTCCTCTTGTACCTATCTGGGCAGTCGCTTTTGGCATTTAGGCACATTCCTATATATATATATATATATATATATATATATATATATATATATATATATATATATATATATATATATATATATATATATATATATATATATATATATAAATATATATATATATATAATATATATATATATATATATATATATATATATATATATATATATATATATATATATATATATATGATGCACAACTCTCCTAAACACGAGAGTACTCTCGTGTTTAGGAGAGTTGTGCATCAAGCATAGACACAGTGTTCTCCCATATTAACAGGGACTTGATGAAAAACGTAAAAATGACCCCTCTCTTGCTCTAGTGTTCTTGGGAGATGGTGGTCTTTGGTGTGTATAAATACTCCGAAATTACCATCTCCTTTAAGGGTCTGAGCGGTGGTGCAGTGGGTTAAAGGCGTACCTGTTATGCCAGTTGCTGGAAGGCTTCTGTGCTGGCTAGGGTTCGAGTCTCCTGGTGGGAAAGTGTTCTAAAGTTGTATATATATATATATATATATATATATATATATATATATATATATATATATATATATATATATATATATATATATATTAAATTTTAATTAATTAAATTTAAACATAAATAATTGATATGTTAACAGAAATTATCAAGAAAGAAGTGGAAGTATTGATGGAGGTTGTGAGTAGCAGTGTGAGTGTTGTGCCTCTCCCACAACCTGGACACAACATTCGTGGACACCAGTCTGGAAACACCACCTGCCAGAGAGACAGGTATTTACCATTCTCGTTGTCATCTCTGCATGCATTCTAAACTTCATTCAAAAACTCTTTTTTAATTTACTCAAATCATACACTTGATTAAGTTTTTAAATTTTTTATAAAAAAAAATAATATTCTTTCGTGATAGATATAAAATTAAGAATCTTTCAGCATTCATTACATAGGAAACTGTTTTATTTTTCACCTTGGCAAAACGAAGATACAAAATCAGAATAACAATATCCATTCATTCAACCTACCCCATCATATTTTTTCTGTGAAATAATGCCTGTTGTTATTGATATTATTATATATAAGTGTTTTTCACTGAGTTCTTTGGAAATGTATACTATAAATTATATTGAACTAAAATGTGATTGAATTAGGTTGCAATAAATGTTAAATCAGATTTAAAAGTAGCTTTTGCAAGAAATATCTATGAGAACTGTACTTTATTCAACAATAAAAACATAAACCCTTATCCCAACATCATGGTACATATAGAGGTTCTTTTCACCATAATATATAAATGGTTTATTTATGCATTATTATTTCGGTGAGGCTTAATTCAGTGAGGCTTAACAAAAATAACCTAAACAGACGCTAACCATCCACGTTTCTGTGTTCGGCAGAAATTCCCATCGAGTTATCCAAAATGCCACTAAACCATTTCTACTGGCACATGTTGTAGTTAGGAATGTTGAAATAAGCTAGTACGTATATCATGAAAAGCACTAAGTCATGAAGACTATAGAGCATCCTATGTTCTGATGAATAGGCATAAGAACCTAAGTATTGGGATAAAAACCTACACATGTATACTTGTGAAATTTATATAAGGAATTTACACCAAGTCTTTCGCACTTTCCCGAGTGATTTGTCTATGTCTGAGTGTGTGATTAGGACGAAACATACATCACAACGTCTAATCTCAATCTCAACATACATCTCAACGTGATTAGACGTTCAGATGTAAGTCTCGTCCTAATCACACACTCAGACCTTGATAAAGCACTCAGGGAAGTGCGAAAGACTTGGTGTAAATTCCTTACATCAAGTCTGTCAGGGAGGAAGCATGACTGTCAGAGAGACAGTCAAGGATTAAGCATGAATGTCAGAGATACAGCCAAAGAGGAAGTATGACTGTCAGAGAGACAGCCAAGGAGGAAGCATGATTGTCAGAGAGACAGTCAAGGAGGAAGCATGACTGTCAGAGAAACAGTCAAGGAGGAAGCATGACTGTCAGAGAGACAGTCAATTAGGAAGCATGATTGTCAGCGATACAGGCAAGGAGGAAGCATGACTGTCAGAGATACAGTCAAGGAGGAAGCATGATTGTCAGAGAGACAGTCAAGGAGGAAGCATGACTGTCAGAGAGACAGTCAAGGAGGAAGCATGACTGTCAGAGAGAGACAGTCAAGGAGGAAGCATGACTGACAGATGTAGTCAATTAGGAAGCATGACTGTCAGAGAGACAGTCAATTAGGAAGCATGATTGTCAGCGATACAGGCAAGGAGGAAGCATGACTGTCAGAGATACAGTCAAGGAGGAAGAATGACTGTCAGAGACACAGTCAAGCAGGAAGCATGACTGTCAGAGAAACAATGAAGTCCTGACAATAAAGAAAAGAACTCTGTTCCATGATATGGTCATGAGATCACCACGTGTTGCTGATACGTAGCCTAGCCAGTGCTGTTTCCCCAGCCCATCCTGCTAAGGTTTCCCAACGTAAAAAACACGGTCGTACTAAAGTTTCCTCTCCTAACCTACCAGAGGACCCAAAACACAAAATGGGACAGTATGTCAATTTATCGAGCCAATACCGTTTCCTAGTACGACAGTTTTTGGTCAGTTAAATTATACGTCGAAATGCAACGTTCTGTTAGGAGATCGAGTTGGGTCCCCACCGCCCATTGCAGTAGTAGGAGGCCCTTGGAATACTTAAAATTTTATAACGCACAGTTTGTTATCTAAAATACCCTGCCCATCTATTGTGTCAATAATTGTGGATTTCTTTATGAATGATTGAGAGGAAACCTGTAAACGTAATACCTTATTGGGATACTAGATGATTTACCCGGAAGTGCCCGGGTCTCTGTTTTACTGTCTCCTTCCCCTCCCTCTCTCTTCACCTCTCCCTCCCTACCTCTTTCCGTCATTCCTCTCCCATCCTCTCACCCCCTTTCGTTCTCTCTACGTCCCTCATTCCTGTTCTTTCTCTTCCTCCCTTACCCAAATTTCATCTTCCTCTCCCATTTCCTTTGAGGATCTCTCTCCAGACATCACTCCCGATCTCTCTCTCTCTCCAAATCTCTTTCCATCCATCCTTCTCATTCCCTCTTCCTCCAGTTCTCTCTCTTCTTCCTACCTCCCTCCCTCTATCACCAATGTAAATTTACATATTGTAGTATAATGCATGTATTAGAATATTATTTCATCAATAAAACATCCAGTTTGATTACACAAGTCCTCAGCCAGCGTCTCTGAGACCTATAATTCGGCTTATGGCACACAGATAATTATAAGAAAATGTTATAAAAGATCAATTACTATTTAGAATTTATTACATAAATATAAGTATGGCCAATTACATTATCTATTTCCCCTTTTACTCAAATCAGATAAGAGTTACCTTACTCTGACTGTCTCTTCAAGCCAGGTTACATGTGACACATTTCCCGTTCACCGTGGGCCATACCGGTCTGCCTCTTGGACTATGACTAGTTTATACTTGGACCCAAACTGGTCCATATTTTGACCCAACTGGTTCATATCATGGGCCGAACCCGGTACACATAACTTAGCTTGACATTTAAATACAAAGTCAGATTCTTCTAACGTTCTTAACCTAAGAGTTCGACTTTACACCGTCGATAGAACTATCGCATCCCGGCTCTCGGACCTTTCTCTTCCCCGGTCGTCGAAGTGAGGACTTCAATTCAACTCGAAGGTTCTGTCTTGACTGACACAGTTGACTTGTCACGTCTCCGTCATGACATTATAGACAAAGAACCAGAGGATTGGCTAAGGCCGTTAATCAAGTGATTAACGAAGGCATCAGCCACACCTTCAATCACTGCAGGCATCGTACCCAGGGACTCAACTGGAATTTCCTTAAGGAAATCTACCCTAAAGATTTATAGATCTGTTTTTTACTGCAGCACACAACATTATAGTCTTCCATACTGCAGCACAAAACATTATAGTCTTCCATACTGAAGCACAAAACATTATAGTCTTCCATACTGAAGCACAAAACATTATAGTCTTCCATACTGAAGCACAAAACATTATAGTCTTCCATACTGAAGCACAAAACATTATAGTCTTCCAAACTGAAGCACAAAACATTATAGTCTTCCATACTGCAGCACACAACATTCTGATCTTCCATACTGCAGCACAAAACATTATAGTCTTCCATACTGCAGCACAAAACATTATAGTCTTCCATACTGAAGCACAAAACATTAAAGTCTTCCATACTGCAGCACAAACACTCTAGTCTTCCATACTGAAGCACAAAACATTAAAGTCTTCCATACTGCAACACAAACACTCTAGTCTTCCATACTGCAACACAAACACTCTAGTCTTCCATACTGCAGCACAAACACTCTAGTCTTCCATACTGCAGCACAAACACTCTAGTCTTCCATACTGCAGCACAAACACTCTAGTCTTCCATACTGCAGCACAAACACTCTAGTCTTCCATACTGCAACACAAACACTCTAGTCTTCCATACTGCAGCACAAACACTCTAGTCTTCCATACTGCAGCACAAACACTCTAGTCTTCCATACTGCAACACAAACACTCTAGTCTTCCATACTGCAGCACAAACACTCTAGTCTTCCATACTGCAACACAAACACTCTAGTCTTCCATACTGCAGCACAAACACTCTAGTCTTCCATACTGCAGCACAAACACTCTAGTCTTCCATACTGCAACACAAACACTCTAGTCTTCCATACTGCAGCACAAAACACTCGTCTACCCTTCTCACTTACTGAGCTTGGTATGCCTACCACAAGAAGTGATACCTGCTTGATGGGGTTCTGGGAGTTATTCAACTCCCCAAGCACGGCCAGAGACCAGACTTGACTTGGAAGAGCTTGGTCCAACAGGCTATTGCTTGGAGCGGTCTGCAGGCCCACATATCCATCACAGACCATTTGGTCAGTTTTTTTTTTTTTTGAAGATAACTATTTAGTTTTCTCTTGAAGATCTCCACGGTTGTTCCGGCAACATTTCATATACTCGGTTGGAGGATGATGAACAACCGCGACCTCTGATGTATATACAGTGTTCTCTGATTGTGCCTATGACACCCCTGATCTTCAATTGTTCAATTCTGCATTGTTTTCCATATCGTTAACTCCAGTAAGTCGATATTTTACTTAGTAGATTTAGGACCTGGCCCTCCAGAATTTTCCACGTGTATATTATTTGATATCTCTCTCGTCTCCTTTCTAGTGAGTACATATGAAGAGCTTAGAGACAATCTCAATAATTTAGTTTTTTATCACGTCTATTTATGCCGTATATGTTCTCTGAACTCCCTCTGTTTCAGCAATCTGCCGTGCTCTTAAGGGGAGAAGTGAGTACTGAGCAGTATTGTAAGACGGGACAGCACAAATGATTTGAAAAGTACAACCTTTGTGATGGGATCCCAGCAACAGCAATTAGGCATCACTGTAGATAAATTGTACACTATATGTCACACATATTATATCGTACATCTGGCAACTCAGCATGCTAATACCTGTGATCATAGGCTAGTCATTCCCAGACACTGGAAATTATACAACAAAACATGTATCTACAGCTGTAATCATTTATTATGTAGTTCTAAGATCAATAAAAGTTAGCTGTCCAAATATCGTACCTCAATTCACACATCTGACAACTCAGCTGGGGATTAGTCACTATATTCTTAGGGTAAACATTCCTTGACCTCGAAAAAATACACAAAAATCCTAATATTAATCCACAAAATTAGTTA